CGGCGGGGGTTTTATGTCACACGACATCGGCTATGAAAAGCATCATAGACGACGAAGACGATGAAAGCGACCGTGCTCGTGTTGTTGCTGCTGTACCTCCATCTTGGCTGAAGCTGCCTCTTAGGCCCGTATTCACAAACGCTCCTTCACTCAAGGGCTCCCCTCGACTTGACGAATTCAAGGCGGAGCGTGCTCCTCCACTCAAGGAGCCGCTGCATTTCATGAACGCTCCTCCACACTTTCTTCGCCAAGGGAGGCCCCGGAAATGCTCCCTCCACTTGAGTGAACTGCATGGGCCGAGAAAAGCGCATGATAACGAGAGTATTCGCAATTGCGGTTAATAAATGCCTATCTTTGTATATTAAATGAACGCTTTTCTTACTCAATCTTTTTTTATAAATTGACATTACAGCAAAATACATGCATTTAGAGTGGTAGCATGGTTTCCGTAAGCCTTGAGCCGGTAGAGTTAGCGAGACCCCCGCTTCAAGTCTGGCAACAGTTGCGCCCAGGCAGCAGCTGATAGCGTTTCGTCTGCTGCTGAACGTTTCTACGTGCTCAGTTTATTTCGTCTCGTGTGCGTCCATTATTTGCTGTTTATATTTATGGTAGTGTCTGAGTGGGTGTTTGAGACCCTGCTTTCGCCGGGGTGACTAACGAACTACGTGAGTGACGGCAGGAAGCAGAACATATGGTTTGTTGCTTTGTTTACTTTCGCTTTGCTGAGAGCCTTCTGATCACTAGTGTAGCCACCAAACGTGTAACACGGTGGAGTGAGTAATTCCTACTTTATGTCACATTACATTGGTGTGCTTTTAGAATTCACCTCCGACGAAGATTACTTGTACGTGAATGCGTTTTTGCTGCGGGAGTACGTGAACACTTCCTGATTTCATAGGAATGTGCTATGTTCATTTTTCTCATTTACTGCGAATTTCAAGGTGGCACTTTCATAGTTGTTCCTCTGCATTTAATAGAAATTTTGGAAGATAATGCTCACAACTTCTATTCAAGGTTATACCAGGGTAGCGTTGATTTCATTGATATGTGGGATTTAACGTCCCATAACCACCATTTGATTATGAGAGACGCAGGGTAGCGTTAAAAAGTAGACAAGGTACACTCATGGCTGAGTGTTTGAATAGGACTGTTATGCAAATTAAAAAAAGCAGTCGTGTGCCTTTCTTCAACTAATGGCGAAAACATCATTTTAAAGTTGTTATTTTCTTCAATTAGCAGCATATATAGTTAGTTAACAATGCGTGTTTGTGTTGTGTTTCAATTTAATCATTTCAATATTCCAAGGATGCCTAAGTAAGCAGTTAATTTTTCTATCTTCTTTTCGCCCTGCATTTGTGGATGCTCTAATATGACAGATTCGAATAGACGTAACCTTTAAATCTCTGTAGCTTCCGTCTCCAAGTTCACACAGCGGCCCCATCTTAAAACGTTTGTCCTGTCTTCTTTACTTGCAAGCTCACAAGCACATTCGTTAATGCAGGAATGACCTTTGCACTTGTGTTTTCTCTTTTATTTGTAGAATATTATTGCCGGGAATAGCTCTTGAAAGTGGTCGTGTTTTCTATGCTTCATTCTAAAGCCTCGGCAGTACATAATTTATAGGAGATAATTTATTCTTTTTGGAAATGATAAAATTGAAGGCGCTTTGGACTTTTGGCGCTGTTCTGTCTTAAAAACGACCGTGGTGGTTCACTGAACCTTGGAGAAAGTATCGTCAAGAAGCAGAGTATTTTACTCTGCTGATTTAACAAAGACCAGTGCAACAAAGTGGTAAAAAATGCTCAAAAGTATTGGAGACATTGCGGATATATCTGGTCAAACCTCTGTAAATATGATATCCGCTACGGTTGCAACATAAAGATGTCTACACGCTGGAATCACGCCATCTCCGTTTCATGGAAGGGGAGTGGTGCTGGTGTATATAAAACAAGCTTGATTTTTGTAGAACTGCTCTCCTGTAGAACCGGAGAAGAGGTTTTTGTGATTCTGTCTCATCCTGAAAAGACGAACATGACAATAATTATGTATTCCAAAATTGAACAAATTAGAAATTGCGATTGACAAAGTCAATCTTTATTACATTTGGCTGGTGAAGAGCCAAGTGACAAACACAAGCGTGCAACTGCAAAGTGTGCAATAATCAAGCATATGCAGCTGACACACTGTCAAAATAAATTTCGAGATTGTAAGACATCATAAATAAGATCAAGGTAGCAGACACCATAGCGTGTGTTATGCAGTGCAGCTGCAAGCATTCACTGCAGATTTTGTCTTTTTGTATACAGTCGTGCAAACTCTGCAATGCATTGCCAATACGGCACGTTTTAGAAAACTTTTGCTCTGTGTTTTTCCGTCGGCAGCCTGGCCCCTACACAAGAGAGGCAAGACATATTATTAGAAAAACGTATTAGCTTGAACATCAAAGCCACATTTTTTTATTTCTCGGGATGCACTCACTCATTATATTTCTTGAGTTAAAGAACCGACACGGTTGAGTTATTAAGCTTTGCCTATTTTGACACATGTTTGGCTCAGGCACTTGGCCAGCTCTCTAGGCATATGGTTATGTAATTTGATAACCTGATTGCACAAAATCAATGGCGTAGCCAGCAATATCTCTTCGGGGGGGGGGGGGGTTCAACCATAGAAAGCAACCTTATAATGTATCTGCCATATTTCTATTTGCCATTTCCGTTTTTATACGACACTTCATGCATTCTTGCATGCGTGCACGTTTCACAGAGCACGAGCCTCTGCTTGATTCCCTGAAGCTGGGTTGGTTATTCATTGGTATTTTGAGCTGCATAGACATTGTATATTGAAGCTATGTTTCACGCGTAGTAGCAACAACAGCACACTTATTGGGCCCAATTGCATTGTGTTTTCTTCTTCTCAAACTGTCTCTTATAGTGATCTGACCTGAGCAGGGGGAAAAATGAACAAAAAAACAAGAAAAAGGAGAACTTACCCTCTCGTAGATACAGACGATCATCTAACGAAAGTGTGCTTCGCCTTATATTTTGGCTAGGGTAGCAAAGATTCACCGGAGGGGAAGCCGCTCAAGAGTATGGTGAATGCAGCGCATCGAAAGTTTGCTATTACGTTTCCTCTCAGCTTGTTTGTCAAGCTTTCACGCCACACTGGAAATGGTGTGGTGTGCAAGCTTCATCGAAACACTTGAAAGCACTGGCGTCCGAAGTAAGTCTTCGAGCACTCGCACGACGAGTATACGCACGCGCGAAGGCAGGTAATCCACTGGCTCATGCAGGAAACACAACACATCACTGCACTGGTGAGCGCTCCGCTTGACACCACGCCCGCCTGTCCCAGCGCCACAGCAGCCGTTGTCGAACCGTTACAAGGCAGCTCCGTAGTGAACGTGCACCGTCACCGTTGAAAGAACGCGGCGGTGGCAGCCAAATTGATCGTTACACGCCGTCAAAGCGAGACGGGCTCCGCCATGGACGCGATGTTGGTGCAGAAGCTTCACTCGAGGGATGATTCAAGGTAGCTCGATCGCTTCCTTGACAATGTCGAGGAAACGCTTGAGATTTTCTCAAGGGAAGGAATCGTTTCGAGTGAAGGGAGGTTTATGAATGGAAAAACGTCACTCAAGGCGTTTCGAGTGAAGGGTCGAGTCGAGGAGCGTTTGTGAATACGGGGTTTACTCTCCCTGTATGTTTTGTAAATATATTTATTCCATTCATTCTCTCACCCCCATGACAATATCGATGCCAGCAATGTCGGCCTCAGCGCGACGTTTGTATAGACAGGTTCCAGCCAGGGAACGCAGCCATCCACGCTGCTGCTGTACAAGCACCAGCTGAAGTAGCATTGCCAGCACGATTACTGCATCTCGGGGCGCGGCCAGGCTTCTTGTTATGTTCTTTGCCGAGGGCATTGGGGACCTCGCTGAGACGTCTCTGCGGCCAGCCGTTTAAAACTGTGACGTATGTAGCCTGGCCAACGGTCCCTGCTGCGCCGAGCATCGTGTCTCAACGCAAACTCTTCGCTGGACGGGCTGCTCACTCCTTGCATGGAGCATCGCGTCTCCGATGCAGGTTGACTGCTCCGTAGCCGGACCCACGCAGTCAAGCATCATCGTCGCCACAGGGTCGCACATCAAGACGCGAATCAGATTCCGCAGCACCAGTCTACCGCCTCCCGCCCTGCACCTCAGTGTTCATCAGAGCTTCCACTGCATCGTGAGGTCCTTATGTGATTCTTAAAGAGAAAAAAGAGAAAAGTGAGCCCCGTAACAGTCTGCATCAGAGTGCGACATCTCAACAGTAGCTCACGAGGGATGGGGGTAAGGAGGAATTAAAAGGATAGGATTAACAGGTAGATAGATAGGGGAAAAAGAGAGCGAGGTGCAGGGACAGCCAACGACAGACAATGACGGAAGTACAGAAGAGATAGGAAAGATAAACACGGTCGCAGGAGGGTGAGGTTCTTGAACTTTCTTTTGTATGAACGTTCATTATATCCCTCGTTTAGCGCAGTCTCTGCGTACCAATGTGTGCTGCCTTTCGATGTCTCTTCTTATACGACACCGTCTCTCAGTGTCTATTTCTCCTCACACAGCACGCATAAAAAGCGTTGACAAACGCAGTCTTTCATTATTTTTCTTATATTAGGTTATCAATGACTGACGCTTTGTAGGCCGCTATCTCTGTGCATCGTAAATTACTTGTAGTTCGCTTTTACAATTTCCGGACGGAGGTTCGGCCAAATAAAAAGTTTATTTTCAAACATGTTTCCTCCTGCCTTCGTCAACGTCACGACTGCGTCACAATATTGCAGATATTTTGATCACATTCATCGCATACTTTTGATGCATTTGACACATATTAGAAAGATTCATTGCCTGACGTCTCGAATGTAGTGTGCTTTTTTTAGCCCTGCACCCCGAAAATGTGACCTCCAAGAAGCTTGTTCTTTTTTTTTGTTACAAAATGGACACTGTGTTTTTCCTACAGTTTTTGAGCAGCACATCGAGAATGTACTTGACGAAAAGGAATATTAACACTGACCCACAAGGAAGAAATCTTACAAGTTGTGTTTCTGCTCAAACGATACATGTGGATGAGTGTACACATGAGATAGAGCAGAACTATACCTACTACAACTCGTCTTCTAGCACATGGTAAGTCAAGTCAAGATCTTTGACGATGTGGCGCACACCCACGCTGAGGGATTGGCCAAGAACCAGATAGTTTTCATGAATTGTGTCTTTAATAACAGGTTAAGATGATTCTATTTACGAGAAATAAAAGAAAGATGCAACAGGACAAATTTGATGGTTGAATTTTAAATAACGTGTAGTGTAATGCAATAATGCAGCGTCTTTATTTATAATAAATTTAGAAAGTTCAAAATCTACCGAAGAATGATTTCAACACTTAAACCTCTTTGAACTTTTGACAAACTTCTGCAATGCGTCAACAACCTTCCCGTCGCTGTGGCCCAGATACAAAGCCCCGAAAGAAAGCACATTTTGAGCGTTTAAATATATTCCGAGAAGGTGGCGAACGGCACCTAAAGTGTTTTCTGTAAGTCAGAGAATCTATTATAGTAAACAAGGTAATGTTCAGTTGACTCATTAGCTCCACAAACAGGACAATGAAGGGAGGCTGCCCGACCACCTCTGTGTAAATACAAATTTAGCTGCAGAATTTGACAGCGCAGTCAAGTGGTTGCGACTTCCGTTTCTTGGGTTTGCCATAATTCACTATTCCAATGGCATAACAAGTGCTTGAATTCTGTTGTGGCTCTTAGGGAAGGTGTAGAAAGTTCCTGTTACAGCATTTTTCTTCTTAATGTAGTGCCTATTAGGAATTTCGATGCCGGTAATACCTCATTAACAGGCCCATTTAAAGATGACCTTGCCAGCGCATCTGCCATTTCATTCATATAAATGCCCTTATGTCCTGGAACCCAGATCAGTTTGATCAGATTTAGATGCGAGGGAACTAATGCTTTGAAAGCACTTTGAGCATGCGAGTTCTTATCTGCATTAAGTGAGGCACATACCGCTAGCGAATGCGTTAAAATTACTGCGGAACTTACTGAAGCAGTTGTTTTACGGAGAGCTAGAATTACTGCCAAAAACTTCTGCTTAAAAGGTTGGCAAAACATCTGGCAGGCGAAGCGAAAAGGATCAGTCTAGGGCAGGAGAAAAAACAAACTATTACGATCAAACCGTAAGTTATCGTAATTATTACAATAACACTGTAAGTAATCGTAATAGTTTCTGTTTTTTCTTATGATATATGGCACGTACCCACTTAAGGATAATGACCAAAAATAGGACTTCTAGACGTCTAAATGGTGTTATTTTAGGAATGGTAGGTGATTTAAAAAAAATAAAAAATTTAAATGGCAAAATATGTAATACATTCTATATAAACTGCAAGTATTATGTCTTTAAGCGTGTAATCCAGACTACTGCATACTCCTGGTGGTAACAATTTTTAAAAACTTGGTTAGGCTTTACCATGTTGAAATGACGAAGAACTTTAAATACCAGATTAAAATGGTACTCGTTGAATAGCTATAAAAAAATAACGCGCGCACTCAAAAGCGTCTCGGTGGCAGTATCCTAAGCCTGGGGCAACGAAGCTTAAAGCATTTTCTCCGATATGGTTAGGCCTATTTTGGAAAGAGGAGTTATAAGAAATTGAGTTTTATACGAGAATATTTTCGACATGACAAAAAATAAGGTTCAGTTTTTCTACTTCTCGCCAGAGTTAGCGTAGGGGTGATACTGCCAGACCAGCCCCGTGCAAGTTTAAATTTATTGGAAGGGCATGGCATCTAAATCTAATCACAGTCACTTCTGATTGTCGAGATTGGCTTCACTGTGACTTCCATATAAATTGTAATAGGTGAGTGAGCGTATTATTAGAAACTAAGGTTACGCTGGAAAGTTGAACTAAGCTTTCAAAATGCATGCTAGGGTTGTATTCGTAACAATGCCCAGCAAACACCGCGGCGGAATAACTGCCAGCATGTGTGTCAGGTTAACCTCACACGCTGTAGCTCATTGACACTGCCACCATAAATTTTCAAAATTATGTGGCTGAACGAACCACTATTTGTCATTATTTTCTTCTCAAGTGAAACGCTTTGATTTGGTGAAAAACGGGAAAAGATAAATTGCGAGTCATGCAAATACGCATAGTCGCGGCCACATCTGTGTACAGCACGCGAGCAGCTGGTTTGTGCTTTGCGGCGCGAAACCTTGAGGCAGTATCGTGCTGTGACATGCTCAGCCTGACAACTAGGCCTCGCATTTTCCTGTTACACCACTTCAGAACCTGAAGCTCCCTCGAAGTCTCGACCCGCTAATCAACACCCGGCTTCTCACGTGCTTTACACAGACATGGCCGTGGCTGTACCTCCTAACAATATATTGCTGGAGATTACGGCACTCTCTGGTGTAAAACGTGAACACATTTGTCCGCCTCTTGTAATTTGGCGACCTATTGGGGAAAATGAATAGAATCGGGCATCTGTTTACGTGAGCTACAGAAAATTACTTGCTTTTAAAGAGGAACTTGTTAAGCAATACATATAATGGCTTCTCCCCGCAAGATACCTCGCCAGCCGTTTCTTAGCAACCACCGAAGCAACAGCTCTGCCCCACCTGACCTCACCTCAATACCGCAACAGTTAGTGTCAAGAAATGCGAAGCTGCTCATCCCCAGAAGCACTAGCAACGAAGAAACCACCGTCATGCCGCGCTCCACAACGGAACCCAACGCGCCTAGATACAGCGAGAGCCGATGTAGGTCATCACAAGCTACGAATGTGCTCCAGCAAGAGCTGTGAAGGAGCGGCGTCGAAGCTATGAAATATATAAGTAAAACTGTACCAAGAATAAATAGAGCAATCTCCTAGCAACCCTTCACGTCAGCAAAAAGTCACAGCTTATAGCTGAAAGGCGAAACAATGAATGGTACGGCAACAAATTGGAATGTCACGCGAGGAATTGAAAGCAGATGGAAACATGCCCCCTGTTGCTCTCTAAATTATGACGCACGAAACGTACAGCATCAGACGAACCTGAATAAGTGTCTCACTTGTTACTTGGCAGTGTCTGAAAAGCGCATAGTTTTCGCAAAGTGAGGCTGTGTAGCGAGTGCAGTGACCTTTGTGCGCCCGGTAACTACCACAGAATCGTTCAGGTGAACAAGGCTTGCAGTTCTCCCCATCAAGAGATATGCACGCGCACGCGTGAGCGACAACCCCCCCCCCCCCTTCTCTCCTTCTATGTGGGGCAAAGTACGCGTGCGAGATGAAAGCACGCTCTTGGCACCATCTCGCTGGTAATACTAAAAACCACCCCCGACATCAGCATTGCCTGCGGTAAATAGCAGATACAAATAGCTTGCTGTTTCAACGTTGAAGGAGATGCTCCTCCTTGGCTCAGCGGTGAACATCACGCACGCACAAGCAAGAAGTTGCACGTTCAATTTCGCGCACCTGAGTCTTGTTCTAGATGTTGCATTTTAATATATATATATATATATATATATATATATATATATATATATATATATATATATATATATATAAAGTAAGAAGGCTGTTAGACGCCACGCCGGGGTTAGGCAACCGTTTCATGGGCCTAACAGCAGCGAGACCGCAGCTAGTGGTTTTAGCAGCAGCTGCAGCAGCACGAGCTTCCGCCACAAAAAACGTCTTCTTTGTCGTCTCTAGCAAGCCCGTATTTTTGTCACTACTTTGAATCTCTAGTGCAAAAAGAGCCATCCTGGTGACCTATGACACAGACAGGACTGGTGGGTCGTAGTGAAGTTTTATACGGTCGACGTGCACAGTTTCGCGCCCGCGGCGCCATCGATCTGTAGGTGGCTGAATAGGTTCAACCATGTAGTTGACTGGTGATGTCTGACGCAAGATCCTGTACGCACCATCATACTTGTGTATGAACTTAGAGCAGAGGCCTGTGGCAGACGATGGCACGCGGAGTCACACGTTTGTTCCAGGCGCCTTTGACGATGGGGATGAGCGTCGGTCATGGAAGTCCTTCTGGCAAGCCTTATCTTACGTAGTAAGCGAACGTGCGAGCTACCGACGTTCTTCGGCATATGTGGCGGCTTCGACTAAAGTCGTCAATTCTGAAGGGTCTGGGTGGTACAGAAGAATAGTGTCCACGAGCGACGAAGGTTCCCGACCATAAAGAATGAAGAATGGGGAGAATCCAGTTGTTGATTGAATCGCGCTGTGTAAGCGTAAGTAGCAAATGGTAGTATGCAGTCCCAGTTCGTATGGTCATCAGAAACATACATGGAGAGCATGTCACCCAGCGTGCGAATAAATCGCTTGGTCATCCCGTTGGTTTGGGGGTGATATGTGGTGGTTGTTCGATGCACGATGTTGCATTCGCGTAGGAGGGCTTCTACAGCTTTTGACAGGAAGGAACGCCCACGATCACAGAGAAGCTTACTGGGTGCACCATTCCGAAGTACGAGGTTGTGCAGAATGATTGATTTGTGGGGTTTAACGTCCCAAAACCACTATTTGATTATGAGAGACGCCGTAGTGGAGGGCTCCGGAAATTTTGACCACCTGGGGTTCTTTAACGTGCACCCAAATCTGAGTACATGGGCCTACAATATTTCCGCCTCCATCGGAAATGCAGCCGCCGCAGCCGGGATTTGAACCCGTGACCTGCGGGTCAGTAGCCGAGTACCTTAGCCACTAGACTACCGCGGCGTGGCAGGTTGTGCAGAATGAACAAGCCGACTTCACGCGCAGTGGCTTCGGGAAGCGCCGAAGTTTCGACATAACATGTAAGGTAGTCCATGGCTACGATGACCCAGCGGTTTTCATTTGGTGTGTTTGGTAGGGGACCGTACAAGTCGATTCCGATGCGGCCGAAAGGCCGAGAAGGACACGGCAGAGGCGCTGGAATGGCCCTGTGTTTGTGCGAGGAGAGCTCTTCCGGCGTTGGCACAAGGTACATGAACAGACGTAATGCCTAACAGCCTAACAAAGCGGTACATTCTGCGCAAGTAATATCGAATTCATAGGCGGGCATACGTCTTCACTACACCTGCGTGGACGCATTGCGGATCCTCGTGGAAGGAGGCACAGACGTCAGAACGTAAGTTGCGAGGT